TCTTTATATATATATATATATATACACACACACATAGATCAATATTATGTAAACACACATTTAATAATAATGCAGAATACGTACGTCATCGCACTGCATTGCTGTTGTGAGCCTGTGGGCAATAAATATTGCAGTGCGATTATTTGCAAGGGATTTGAGAGCATTTAATATCTCGGCCTCAGTTGTGCTATCAAGGGCGCTAGTAGCTTCGTCACAGAACCTAAGGTTTTGAAAAAATGAATAAGCAAATTGTAATGGATAGAAGTTCTTGTTGGAGCTTCTTCTCAATTAGTCACGTGAAGACGCAAAAGTTGGAGCGAAAATTATTTTTTCACGCCCAACAGTGAGAATCTCACGTGTTTGCTTGAATTTAAGATATAATTATGTTAAACAAGGAAAAGATTGCAAGTTTATAATCACAAATTGCTAACATCTGAGTATGCAAATGCATACAAGAAACAACAAGCGCAATTCAAAGAACGAGTAGAAAAAAAAAAAAAAAAAAAACAAAATAAAACAAAATAAAAAATCCGTATTTGAATGTAAGCTGTCTTGTTTTGCATTTCTGATAACAGATACCCACATGTCCGGTTTTTCTTCCCCAAATTTTTACTTAACAGTAACAAAAAATCCTCTACTGACCTTGCACCTCAATTTGTCACCACTTATAGTCAACAGCTTCGAGTGAATACCCATTTTATGCTCTTCGCTCTAGTAAGCTTTATTCATATTTTGGATTTCGCACATACTTAGCTGGAGATTTGCTTGAAACATCTGAAAATAGATAATTTTTTGCTATTGAAAAAGCCTCGCCACTTTGGACCGAATCTAAAGCCTCAGATTCAAAATTTCACTGGAAAGACTACAGAAAAGGTTTATTGGAGGAATGAGCTCTGTTATGTGTGGGGGCTAATGTAAATTGGGAGAAGAGCATTGCAAATTACAGGGGCAAAATTGTCCTTTCATAGAAGGGATGGAAGAATGGAGAACAGATCATACCTCACCGAGTCTGATCTTACCCATGGGATTAATTAAAGGGCCCATTTTTTTTACCATGCTGTTATTCACAATCCCAAATACAAAAATTATTAGGGATTAACTGGGATTTCCTTCAAATTTCGATCCCATCCCGAATCCCAAATACCAAACGAGCCCTTAGTGGTTAATCCATCAAGATTCTCGTCAGACTTACACACCATAATTGAAAGAGGGAAAATAACATTCTTCCTGTGTATTTTTGTTTTCTGCTCTACAAGGAATACATTCACTGTAAAACAACTCATCTCCGGCATTGGACAGTAAAATGAAACAGAACTGAGAACCCTACTGTTTCCACAGGGTTTAATAATGCAAACTCAATCAAACATTTAAAATACGCTACTTAAATTCGCCTACAACATAATTGTGCAGCAATCTGGAAATCGAAGTTGAATATAAAGCAAAAACATTTAACCTTCACACGAAATACCGAAAAAGCACTGGTAAGATGGAAACACAAAGTGCAGATCTGCCTCCTTGAAGACTGCTAGCCCAGCTAGTATCGACGCCTGGGCAAGAATAAAGCAACATATTATAGACACCATTAGAAGGGGTAAAGTAAACCATAACTAGAAAGGATTGCATAAAATTACTACATTTGTGTGCTACCACTTGGTCATACAGTTGACATTAAATTATTTCTCACTTGAGCAGTTCAAACATGCGAATGAGGATTTCACAAGATCTGAGTCTGAGCGAGCACATAACTGGTAATGAGAGAAGCGACGTAACAAAAAAAAAGATATCTAAAATGATTTGATATTCTATTGTGTTAATCCATGAATGTGATGGTTATATTTTACAAATGGAATGGGATTTTAAAATGGTTTCACTTAAGAACGGATGGAAACAGCACAGGATCAAACCTCAAGGGGTTCTCCAGACTCTAATTTTAAAACTTTGGGGCTTTCTACAATGAGACTAGACCTTCGGAGTTTGTTATTGTATTTCACCCATCAAAGAGACTCTAGACTTTGATGGTGGTTTTTGCATTTCACCCGACTAAGACTAGCCCTTGGGAGTGGTTTTTGTATTTCACCCATCACCCATAATTCACCTCGACAATTTTTCACATCCCACTCACCTAGAGACCGCACTAGCATCAAAGCATGTTTGTTTACAAAATAATTTATCCAAATTCAATTCATACTCAAAATTTAACTCAACTTTAATCCAACCCCACTGTTCTCAATATTATCAATATAGTTAAATAATACAAACCAATCATTCTTACACATCACATCAACTTTAATTCACTATTCATCCACTCACATAATTTTAACTACCTATCACTTCACATCATTTTTCTCCTACTTTTACATCAAATCAACTTTAATTATTTTATTTTACATACTTTTTAATATAAATCAAAATCCCACTAACAACTAACCATCCAATTTTTTCAAAATTAACCATGGTTAATCGAAAAAACTCATTTTGAGCGGATTTATTTGTAAACAAGCACGCCCTCAGGCTATCAGAAACAACATGGACAAGGGAGGAGAGAGCGAGAGAGAGAGAGAGAGAGAGAGAGAAAGAGAGACTAAACCTGTGGCGGTCATAATCTCTCGTCCGTTCTCGGGAATGGGAACGGGACCTATGGCGACTCCTCGAGTCAAACCCACGAGAGCTGGTGCTGTCTCTCCCTCTTTCGCGCTCACGGTCATAACGTTGGCCTCGGTCATGATGCCTGTCACGGTCCCTGCTCCTTCGATCATAATCCCTCCCGAAATCGTTGTTATTACCATTGCCACGCTCCTTGCTATGTTCTCTCTCACGCTCCTCATCTCTCGATCTGGATAAAAAGACAATGATCAATGTTACGATCCCACATCACCGGAAAAATGAGACAGAGAAATTGTCATTCCATCATATCATGACATGGAATTTCAAGTCGACCTTCTCTCTTCTTTAAGGGCTTTACGTTTGGCTTCTTTTGCTTCCTGTAACGATGAAAAAAGAAACAAAGTTGGTATAACAGAATATTGAATGTCAACAAGTATATGCTTCCCCAACCAACAGTGAAATTAAAAGAAATCCGAACAGACTGATGAGAAAAATTCCTAACAGGCCCCTCTTTCAATCTGTATTCTGCTCCTCTTACACAGAAGGTGAAGTTTATTGATTGGGAAAAAAGAAAAAAAAATTCAGGCAAATATGATTCTGATGAGCACATATTAAAATGCAGCTGCATAATGATACCATTTTGCTCCGCACTCTGACAAAACTATCAGTAAAACTTCTGTTACAGACACCAGGAAGCATAATAGAATAAAACTTGTCCCCTCATTGAAAAATCTGGCATCAGGTGTCACATCTTTTCAAATAATTAAGTACTCGCTAAGGAAAAATAACATTTACGAATAACTCAGCTATGAGAACTATGTAAATAGTGGATAATATGAAAGGAAATGAACAAGTGAAACCAAAAAAATCATACAACGCACACGTGATACCCAAGCACAAGATCAGAAATGGCTGGCGAACACATTTTTTATTAAAAGATTCTGCTCAGACTTAGAAGACAGGACCGACATTCCATTTATGCCAGGTAGAATCTCACAAAAACGGATAGCACAACTGTTTGTCCAAATAAAAGAAAACCTTACTTCAAGGCAGCAATCTTACACCTTGCCTGGTAAATCCAAAGTGCCACTGACTAATCAACGCCGCATCTAGGTTCATTTGTGCACATCAGGCATAACCAATCCTCAATTAATTAAACCCTTCAAATTTAAAAGTACATCTCCACCCAATATTCAAAGCATTAACTTTATTCCCAATAAACTCACTTTCCTAATTACCTCTACACTAGAAACCTTCAAACAATGCCGCCATCTAGGTTAAGTTTTGCACATCAGGCATAACCAATCCCCATTTAATTAAGCCCTCCAAATTTAAAAGTACATCTCCACCCAATATTTCAAAGCATTAACTCTATTCCCAATAAATTCATTTTCCTAATTATCCTATACTCTAGAAACCTTCAAACAATGTTGCCATCAAAATCTAACGGATGATAACCAACTCCAACAGCTAGCTTACCTTTTGCCTCAGACTTCCGGGAAAGTTGCAAATGGACACATTGTTTCATAAAAAACCAACATTACAAGTAATTAAGGGAACACTCTTTTACTAGGATAAGAAGAACTCACAAGGACATGTAAACTGAGAATCTCTAGAAGAAATTGAAAGATTATAGCAGCACCTGAACAGAGATATATTTAAGTGCCACCTTAGAACTGAAGGATATGTTATATTTTAATTGAAGAACATACTAACAAAAACCAACACAAATCACAAAATAATGTATGAGTTCAAATGAGCGGCAGAAAATACATTTAACAAACTTTCTGAGAATCCCATGATTATGTGTAGATGTAACACTGCATTAATAGAAGTAAGATTCTATAATTGCAAGTGGAGGGATAATAGATGGTGCTCATACCTGAAGATCAGCTAGCTTTTCACGTATTTGCATATAACCTAGGTGAAGCTTTCCACCAAAATGATCTGCTAAACGACGATCACTGAAAACCAAGTACGGATAATTTCTTATCATAACAAACTCACATACAACAAAACTAGTAAATTGTAAGACAGTAGCAGGGTAACTGTTCTGGTCGCAATAGCGTGATCAACAAGTATAAAATATAAAATAACGCACATTCTTTAGCTGCAAAAGTTATCCTCGTAAAACTGGGCCCAAAAGCCTGCTGGTGAGAAGGAGGTATGATTGCCAGGTCAAACAATGAAGCACCAAAAACTCTCATAACTACCTAACGCTAAATGTTCGCATTGTAATTAGCCAGTTCAACAGAACATTTACCTATCATAAACGCTCAAGAATGCTCCACAAATGTCACAGACCCGAAGCTTCTGGTCTGTCTGAAAGTCAAGGAAAAACAGAATTTCAGAATCAAACAACACAGATTCATAATCAGTATTCGCTTTTCATGTTCAAAAAACAACAGGCACACACAATTGTATATGTTTCATAATGAAGATGACTAGTTGACATCATAATGCCAGTTCTGGTAATTTCTACATGTTGACAAAAATTTCCTTCCTGAAGGAGAATATATATGGTCACCCCAAACAAATCCATTGCATCTCCAAAAACAACATGGTCTATAATATGTAGCATATTGTTCAAGTTATTATTATCTAATGAAAAAGTTGCTGATATGGTGTAATGGACCTGACCACACGCACGAGACAAGATCTCCACATAAACATGTCAGCTAAAAAATTAAACTGAACACTAATTTCATACTTCATTCTCAATTTTCTTCAAGGATAGTTTACCTCACATTTCACATGAAAGTTATTATGGTGTAATATAGCAGTATCATACTATTCAACCAAAATTTTCAGAGCAGAGAAACAGTGTACTCACGATGCGCACATCAGCTGCTGTGTATTTTGAGGAGTCAAGTACAGGTTCCTGTGGCGCTGCTGGCAGCTGGATCGACAAGACAACAATGAAAATGAAAGTAAAACTAAAATATAAGCTCTTTGTTAAGCAAATTAGATGCAGAAGCCATATAGGATATAGCGCATTAGCAGAAAACAACAACGCAACAATAATATCTACAGTGGACAGTGCTCAATTGATTCACTTGAGAAGATCTAAACCTTTTTTAGGGCTTCAGCCTCTTCCAATGCTTTCTGTGCTTCATCAACCATTCCTTGTTCACCTGAAACATGCACCCAATATATTCACACATAACCGCAAACAAACACCATATCAAACAGACATTCAGAGGTGAAAAATCAAACTAGGACCATCTTTCAAAACTCTGCCTGTTTTATAAAGTATAAACATTTATGGAAAACCAGTGTTATTAATGACATCGCGGTAAATGGCGGAATGCCAAAATTCTGCTGTGGCGGCCTATGGCTCCGACATAACCGCCATCCTTCACAAATTTAGCATGGCAGTTTGTCAAAAATCCGTCATGCCATACCATCATGGCCGCCATTTGAAGACACTGAAAAAACTTGAACACTACTACCTGGAGCAATTATTGCGTAGATAATATTTGGTAAATTACGGTGTACATCCTTGATCAAAATAGCATATCCACATGTGACATATTAAAGGGAACACAACCGTTGCAACTTCAATATAGTAACCCGTGGAAGCTTCTACTTACATTAATATATAATAATTCACATCCAAATTTCCACAGAATTTCAAACACACAACAGCATCAATTAGTCATGAACCATGTTTACCAATCTATTTATGTCAAAATAAGTTATATATTATATAGATGAGTTGAGATGCTCCAAATATCTTACCAAGTTCTTCAGCTTTCTTTAGCTTCTCGTTAATCATTTCCTGTATGCGTGGATCTGGAACAGCTGCTGGCATCGGTGTCACTTGAGAAGCATTAGTCAGGGGCTGAGGAAGAGATGCACGATCTTTGTTGAAGGCGTCCAACAAAAGGTTTGCCTGCCATTGAACAAAATTAAGCATACAATCTTCTGATAGATCAACAGCACTGATACAAAGAATGAAACATTCTTAAAAGCCCCTGAACCTGCATGTCTGCTCTTTTAACTCTTAGTTCTTCAAGCTCTTCCACAGCTCGAATCTTCATGTCTGTGTTGCCTTCAAAATCTATTAAAATCACATAACCTTAAGTACCATCCGAAAAAATAACCATATAAAAGAATGTTGAACACAACACATAAAAACGATGTAGGGCCAGGGGAAGTGAGGGAAGGCTGTTACCAGAGGGAGCTAAGCAGTTCTTTTACCCTCTCTTATGTACAACATGAACATAATTTTCCACAATGAACTATTACTTCTCATTAGAAACCTGAGAGATGATGGACAATTCTTACCAAGTCTATCAACTTCTTTCAATTTCTCTTTAATTTGCTTCGACAACTCAATGGTCTCTGGAGTCTGCAGTACCACATGATTTATTAATTACATATCAGAACAAATGGAACCATCAGAAGGGATATTGAAATTACAAAAATCACCTGGGTAACTTCTGATACTGAGATGGCTATAGCTGCTTTAGCATCCTCTTCATCAAGTCTCTTTAGAGCCCTAGAAATCTTACGGTCACACTCAACAATAAGCCTGTCTATTGTATCCTCTAAATCTCTGTCATAATTATCAACACCCTTTGCTTTCGCTTCCTCGTATCTAGGGAAAAGTTAAAGTTTCACAAGAGCCAACCAGACTACAATGATGCATAACAAGCAGTAGCAATCAGTTATTTCACCACATAAAAGCAAGCCAACGGGATGAAAAAAAATTATTCCATAAGCAGCTGCTGTGAGGTAGAAACTATATAGCCTATGAACAATAAGTTCTCTTGCACTGGAAAATAATGTATTACAACTGCAAACCCAGGCTCTAATGAAAACAAGGGTGTCCAGTAACACATTCAATGATTATTTTAACAAGGTTTTTCGGTGTTATGCATTAGAAAACTTCTCAACAATGTAAAAGTTTTCCTGCTCCAGCCACCACGTTATGCTCATTAGATTATTATTAGAACTGTTACTGGTCAAATACTTAATTCAAACATAGACATTCTCATCACAAAAAGGATACTCTTTCCTCAGCTGCAACGAGTGCACCTTGGGGCATGGGCCCATATCAATTTTCTGCAACAAAAAATGCATAACCAAGTCAAGAACACAAAAACTATAACAATCCAATAAATCCAACACCACTATCAAATTCAAATTCACGAAATCAACAAACTTAATTTCCTTCAGTATTTGGAGACCAAATTTTCGCAACAGCTTCACAATTTTCACCAATTATTTACGCTAAATCATTGCTGATTGAACTAAAAGCCTGAATCAGACAACATTCAAGGAGTAATATATCCAAGGGAAGTTCGGTATCCGAAATTAAAAACGACATAATAATGGAATTAAAGAAAAAGAGAAACTAGGATTCGTACAGTCAGTTGGAACAGCTCGTGAGGGCAAACACCGGCGAGGAAGAGACGGCAGACATCACGATCATAATACTTTCGGGCCACCTCCTGAACGTCGCCGTTTCGGTTCGCGCCCATCAATACATCGAGCTGTTTCCTAAGCGCATCCATATTTCTTTTTCTGTGCGCTCTCCAGTCCTGAACAGCACAATGTGACTTTAGGGTTATGTTTAGGTTTTGGGGCAATTGGGTATCAACTGTGAAAAGAAAAAATCAAATCATGGGACCTAGTACTTTTTTAATTATTTAAATACATCTATCTATACTTATATAAAAAGCTATCACATTTACTATAATTAATAAGAAGAAAAGTCAACTCATAATTAATTGCACACTATATTTATAAAGTTTTAGATATTTTAAATCATAAAATAGGGTACCATTGAATGCCCCTAAAATTATGGGTTTTGTTGAATTCATTTTTGAAAATTTCGATAGATATTGAAGTGAATATGAAATTCAAAATCTTTTCTCATTTTATTTTTAATAAAATATATATCTAAATTTACGTGTGGTTTTAAATTGAAAATTTAAAATTCAAAATCTCTTCCCATTTTAGTTACAAGAAAACCAGACTGCATTCAACACTTGGACCAATTTAAAAATTATTCCTTAAATGAAGGAATTTATAGATAATTGTTATATCTACTTAATCATATGATTATTTTCAATATAAAAAGAGACAGATTACAAATTAGTGAATCATATATTACCTAATTCAATATTTTAACATTAAATAATAAATCCATAGTATTATGTAAATCCGTATCTCATATTATTAAATCATTAAGAATATATTATAGTTATATTATCAAATCATAAAAAGATATTAAATCCATATTGTAAAAAAAAAAAATCATATAATTTTATAACAGTTCTACTACACTATTTAATAGTATTCCTTTTTATTATATAATAGAATAATAATTAAATATTATATAGTGAACAACAATAAATAAAACTGCTACTTTCTCTTATGTCAAGGGATAAATTTATATGCTAAAATTAAATTTTTATTAGTATAAATGTTTTAGTGAGATAATATATTAATTATTTACAAGCTAGCCCTAACATGCTCATATCTAATATTCTGGCTAAAAAAATAACACTGGTTAAAAGATGTGAAAAAAAAATTTATAATAACCCTATTGTGTTTTGGACTTAACGTTGAAAAGAGGTAGAAAATAGATAATAACCCTATTATTTTTTAGACTTAAACAAACAAGGGGGTGAAAATAACTCATTTAATATCTCTGTCTCGTGCATCGCACGGGGTGCATACTAGTTATAGGTATATTGTGAACTGAGTGAGTGTATTCAAACATAATTTCTAAAGACTATTTAAAGCACTCACAATGCATTTGGTCTAATTTTACCTATGTGGCATATAAATAGACTTAAGTCCTAAATGACATGGACAAATCCAAGTAAAAAAACTCAAAAGCTATTCAATGCAAAAAAAAATAAAAAATACTAGGTCTAGCATACATGCGAACAAATAAAAATGCTCTAATATGTTTTCTTTATTAAAAGAAAAATTAAATTATGAATAAATTATGAGTGTTTTAGTTTGTACTTGGGTCCAAAATAGACCCAAGTGTGAAATTGGTCTCTTTTTTTTATTGCGACATAAGCTAGACCATGTCCACTTTTAATTGTATTGGGAGATATTTTTTTATAGACTAGATCTATTTCCTATGTGACATATGATATTTTATTAAGAGATCCAATGTATTGTGTGTGCTCTTAGTGTATTCAATTTAGGTATTTAAAAAAAATTCAATTTATTTCCATCAGTTTTGCTATCAAGCCAACAATTGGCTCTATAGTGGAATCAACCTTCTATATACAACAAGTAAACCATATCATATTCTCTGATTACTTAAATAAATACTAATAATATAATTAATATGGTATGGTTTACTTGTTGTACATAGAAGGTTGGCTCCACTATGGAGCCAACTGTTGGCTTCACAGCAAAACTGTTTATTCCATTCAAACTTTTTGAGGGTCTCTATAAGTCACTCGGTATTAGAAGACTTTATGAGACTTTTATAGGCTTTTGTAACAAAATTACAAAGACAAAGTCCTAGCAGAAATTTCATCAAATTGGTGAGATTTTGCTGGACTTATATGACTCTCTTCATACTCGCCTTCTTTCTGTAACACTACTTTATATCTCATATCACTTTCATGCTTGCTATTTACTCATTTATCTTGATACCTTGTATAACTTTTATTTTCATTACATATATTTAATTTGATATTTTATTTTATATATTTTTTATTATGTTTATTTTATGTGCTTACCTTTATTCCCTTATTTTGCTTTCTTGTGAATCTGATTTCTCAAAGGTTAAATGCTTGTATAGTTTGCATTTGTCAATAATTTATTTGTTCTCTCTTTTTGCTTGTAAATGTCTATTTTAAAATAATAAAATATTTTATTTGCTAATAGTTTATTTGTTGATATTAACTTATTTTGAGTAAGCAAATACTGTCTTTCGACAAAATTTGCGTCTTGTAAATAAATATTGTAACATGATGCAAAAAAAATATAAAAAATAAAATTAATCAATAATTAGATAAATATATCTTTTTTCATTGTTGTTTGTTCGGTATCCTGGCTTGCCTCCGGTGGTCTTGGCTCGTGGTTTTCGGAATCTGTCCGATGTGGATATAGTTGGTTCCTGCACGTTTGGGCCAAAAGAGGGTTGAACGAGATTCGTGGAAGTTCTGAATGAAGAAATGTGTTTGCGCAACCGAGACGACCACCTTCTCCTTGGACTGGTTGAACTCTCGACATCCGGTCAAAACTCCAAATCTACACACATCTAAAGACAAGAAAGAGATAGAACACAGAAAAAAAACGAAAGAAATCACTGAAATTCTAAAAGAAAATAAAACACACGAGAAAAAAAAAATAAAACACACGAGAAATGACGTGGAACGAAATTCTTGAGAAAAGGCCTAAAAACGAGGGAAGTAAGTAGCAAACAAACAAGGAAAAATTGCAACAAAAATATGCCAACCCTTGACTTTTGCCTTACATTTTTCTTTTTTTTTGGAAATATGCTTTATATAACAGCTTACCGTATATTGTAATATTTTTTTATTTTTGATTTGAGATTGTATATTGGCAAATTTAATAATAACAATAATATTAATAATAATATTAATAATTTTCCATTTAATTAATTGGTTATAGTCACTCAAATTTGTAAAAGTTACATTTATTATAATCAATATAGTTATCATTCGTTATTACTACTAATAGAATTTATAAATTGTGATATTCTTATTACATAAATTTTTATTTTAGAAATTTATACCAACAAACAACTTATAAAATTTATTTTCGTTTGAGCATATGGCTAGTATATAAAAAAAAAAGCACATATTTTCTGCAGCCAACCAAACTATAAAACAAAATGATCATCCACATTTTGGTCTTCATAAATCCAACACACAGCAAAAACACCCAAAGCATCTACATTCCCAAACAGACTTATGGATCTCATAAGTCAAAAAACACATGTAAAAAACAAACACCCACAATCAATATCATGGATATCAAATCCTGACCTCCCTCCCAAACACCCAGCTGAAAGGCACGGGCTCCCCCTCCTTGGCCCGGGCCCTGGCCCTCTCTTCCAGCCTCCTGATCCTCGGAGTCAGCCCACACACGTACTCTTGGGCCTTGCGTCCCTCCCCAGACAGGCCCGTCAGCTTGTCCACCTCCCATCGTCCCACCAAAAACTCAAGTATGTCAGCATAGTCCTTAGCCGTGTAAACCCCAAGCCTCTGTGCCACTGACGAGAAATGGTCGAACAATGTGTCATCCTTACCATCATACATAAGGTGGGCCGGCATCGAAATCTTCTTCTTCATCATGTCGGCTAGTGCCAAAACTGTGCCATCCGGGTCGATCTCAAACAGCTTCTCAACAATCTTCGTGTAGGCCGTCTCGTGCCTCTTCTCGTCAGCCGCTATTATCCCGCAGATCTGGGCCAGCTTGAGGTCCCCATGCTCCTTAGCCAGCCTGGCTGTGTTCCCATGGGAGATGAATGTGGCTCGCTCTTGGAAGGACGTGTAAATGAAGCCCAGGTACGGGTTGTTGTCCGTGCGTGGGTCCTGACTCAATCAATCAAGATACTAAATTGTACCATAATCGTTATTTAAAATATAATAATAATAATAATAATAATCAGTTGATACAACTACTAAATTGTCTTACCATCACCCAATGAAGATACTAAATTGTACTCATTTGATGATAATCGTTATTTAAAATAATAATAATAATCAGTTGATACAATTACTAAATTGTCTTACCATCACCCAATGAAGATACTGAATTGTACTCATTTGATAATCGTTATTTAAAATAATAATCAGTTGATACAACTACTAAATTGTCTTACCATCCCTGACCCTGACCGAATGAAGACACTGAATTTTACTCATTGGATGATAATCATTATTTAAAATAATAATAATAATAATAATAATAATAATAATAAGTTCGTACAACTACTAAATTGTCTTACCATCCCTAGACCAGTGATCCAATGAAGATACACAACCACTAAATTGTCTTACCATCCCTGACCCCTGACCCAATGAAGACGCTTATTTAAAATAATCAGATGATAATCGCTATTTAAAACAATAATCAATTGCTGAATTGTCTTACCATCCCAGACCCAATGAGATACTGAATTGTCTTCTCGATCTCCTTCAAGTCGACACGGCCAGTGAGATAAAGGTACTTGTTGAGCAAATCGCCGTGCCTATTCTCCTCGGCCGTCCATGCTCGGGTCCACACGGCCCAAGGGGTTAGGCTCGCCCCAGTCTCGTCCCGAACCCCATCGAGCGTGTTGAGCATCGTCTGGTAGGTCGGTAGGGCCTCCTCAGTTATCATGTCTCCCACCAACACGACGAAATAATCGTCCGGGAGGCTACGGGCTCTGTCCCGAAGCTCCCGGACCTGTTCCTCGAAGCCATCGGAGGAAGAATCTGGGAGGAAGTCATTGGGCTGCCAGCATTTCTCGACGGGCTTGAGAAGGACGAGGATGTTGTCCTCGGCCCACTTGTGGAGGGAGGTGAAGATCTCCCGCTTCTCGGGGGCTAAGGGGTGGGTGATCTGGGTGTTCACCTCACGGGGAGGGGTAAATGGCTTTTTCGAATTCCCCAATTCCCTGCATTTTAAGCAAAACGTAATAATTATTTATTTTATTTATTTATTTTCTGCAATTAATTACAGAAAGAAGAAGAAGAAGAAGAAGAAGAAGAAGAAGAAGAAGAAATGTTATGAACAATGTACCAGTTGTGTGTTAAATAGCCTCAGAATTGGATTACCATGCATTAAATTTGGCTGCTAATTATTAGAGAAATGACACAGTATTCAGTAGCTTATAATCTGCTCCACAACAGGAGGAAATATATCTATTGTGAATGAATCATTAACTCTTGAAACAATTTAATTGGTGTCCTCTCTCTCAAAAAAATAAAAATAAAATAATGGTGCTCTTTCTTTCTCTCTCTCTCTCTCTCTGCATCTTTTCTTTTATTTTTCATTTTTCATCTCCGGATTTATATTACTTTGTGTATCTTCAGAAGTAGCCAAACTAATTTTGCTGGGAAGATGACAAAGAATCTAACTTGTGTTTATGTGAAGGAGAAGCCAACTAATAACCACCAAAGGCATATTGGTACAATAAAAACAGCTATTAAAAACTCTGCATAGATACGATGATTCAAACCAAACTCATTTAATTCACAAACAAGTACATGAAATTCTAGGCACCTATTACATCACCTATTCCACCTAGTCTTTATCAATCAAAGTAGACTAATTACTAAAAGAAGAGAAGGAAAGAAACACAACACATATGTATTAGTGCAATCACGACTTAATAACCTAAAATGGGAAAGCTGCTTCAACTGGTTTAATGCGTCTACCATTTCAAAATATTGAGTTAGATAAATGTATAACTCGGAACTATTAAATATTCAACTCCACACTTTTTTCTTCACTTGGATTTCGGCAAACATATCTAGTGTTTGTAGTTGTATTTTTGAAATAGAAACAAACACAGATATAAAAAAACCAAAACACGTGAATGCTTAAATAACATGATGGCCAATTAAGACGCCAGAAAATCAAGAACACTATAAGCCAGCTTTCAAACTCTACACATATATATACGGACCATAAAAATAATGACCTACATCAAGACGAACAAAGAAAATCACCCAAAAAACAATGTATGCCAGAATGAAGTGAGGACAATTCTGGAAGCAAATAGAAAAGCTCAGACTTCGTCGATTAGGACATAATTTATAAATTTTTATAAAGCAGATGAGAAATACTCTGCACTAAACAAGGAATTAGGAAATAATTGAAACAGAAAAAATGTGTAATCTTTCAATAACTTTTGACAATAAATTTTGAAGAATTGAAAAAACAAGAAATAAGAATTTCAAATTTCATAACCACTACTAACACATTACGAGCATGCAATTTGTTTAACATCAAGTAATAAAAACCCAGGTTATTAATAACACTCAAAAGATGCGGAAAAAACATCAAATCTTGAGCATGATTCGTCTAAAAACAAAAAGAGAGAGCAATTAGAAGAATAAGTAGTATTATTCAAATGGAAATGGACAAAAAGAAAAAAAAAAAAGTGAACAAAATAAACATTCCTGCTACCAACTTTTCCAAAGAAAGACATAATGAAAACCCAATATTTCATCTTCCATCAGATTAAAGGCCGAATTCAAGGAAAATCGCTGAAAAATAAAACAAAAAAAAAGGCAATAGAAAGCTTACGTTGATGGAGAATGAATAGTTGAAGCCATGGAAACTTTGTGAGATCTGAGCTGATAACCTGGAAAAGAGGACATCTTGTGGGGATTAATGCCAAGTTTAAGAGCCATTTCTCCAATTTCTAGGGAACGCTCTGGGCTTTCAGAATTTTAACGTTGTTGATTTTGATCGAGAAGGTTAAAAGCAGCTTGAAATGAGAGAAAGGAACAGAAGAAGATAGAATAGAGCAAATAGAGAAGGGCAAAAAGATATTTTGATGGGCTTTCTTTCAACAAACGCCCATAGCTTTGCTGGCAAAAATTGTTTTTAACCTTTGGGGAGGGCGATGGTTCCTAGGTCTCCTGCTAATTTAGATCTTCTTGTCAACAAGTGTACAATGCCACGATGTGCCAAATCCCAAATGAGGTTGGTATCACTTACCATGCCGCTAAAAAGTTTTGTATTTATATTACTCGTAATTGCATTAAAAATATTTTTTTTAAATAAATGTATATAACTAATACCAGTCTCTGCGATACATAAATAAATAATATTAAATAGTTTTATAAATTAAAAAAAAATATGTAATACAATTTTTTTACATTAAATTATTAAAAATTCTATATAAAATTTAACTTGTGCAAAATTGCATAAAACATATTTATGTAAAATATTAATATCACCTCAAATGGTATATAACATGTGTCGATGATGGATTTTGCCTACAAAATTACGAATCGGTGATATGCTATATTTGGAGATTATGGTCTAGATTTAATTGAGACATACAAAAGAAACTAGAGCAACGAGAGAATCGACGAATTTGGTGTTTGCATTAATACACTTGTACCGAGATTTATTGAAAAATTTGGGTTGCTTTCGGACCTCTTATGACATTTGCATGTTGAAGGCTATTGAACTAATTGTGGTGTATTTTGATTTGCAGTGATTCTCTTAAGTGTCGGGGGTGACTATTTATAGAAAGAGAGGATGTAAGGCATCGCGTGTCCTAGCAACTTGACTGATCTTTTGTTGGCGGAAAAACTAGTTCTGGGCGACAATCCTTTTCACATAGATCTGCTGAGATCGGCCTGAAGGAAACTTTGTTCACTTCTGGCTGATATGAGGACATATTTTTGTTGGGGTTTAATGTAAATGTCCGACTTTGTGTTACACACAATCTCATTTTGAATCAGATTCATGTTTTAGTCAAGTGTATGATTATAATTTATTTATTTATACGAACATGGTTTCTTTATTTTACATTGTAGATAATATTGTTCGATGTGTCTAATAAAAAAATCATATAATTGGTTCCTTGTAAAATATAAATTATTAGTTCACAACCTAAAATAACTTGAACAAATTGTCGTGAACGGTTGTAGTGTAATCTCCGAATTATTTGATCTTTGACTAATGAATTACACCAGTTCATCTCGGATATATTGAACAAACCATGAAGGATAAGATTATTTTATACTGTCCAAGTAAATAATCTGGACTCCAGCTATTATTGCGTTCTCTTAACCCGTAAGATAATAAACATGCATATGTATTCGTTTATTATTTATTTGATTTATTATGAGTGAGATTTATTGTGAATCAATAACCTCCGTATTTTGGTAAATAATTTATATTACATGATGTGTCGTTAAACTTATTTATGGTCATTGCGTCCCAGTTCGTCGGGTTGATGACGTCCCTGGAATGAGCTCAAGAATGATTATTATGTCAAGTCCAGCCGACGGACTGAATTCTGACATAATAATAAAGCATTGAGTGGTACTAATTTTGGATAGAGAAGTTGATTAAAAATATTCTCAGTAATTTAATTAATCAACAGAGTTAGATTTTAAACATGGGGAGGTAATGTTAGTTTCGATGAAGAACGTCGATTATTATTCTCTAATCGAATCCTAAGAAATTAATTCTAAAGCACAACAGATCTAAAGCTTAGGATCAAGATCTTACTTGTTTGTATATGCCGACTCTGTATAGACATACACGACCAACAGGGCTGGACGAACGGCTTTGAGTTGTTCTTCAACCTTTCTTTGTCCATCTTGACCCGTCTTGTTCGTCACACCTCGCCGGTCCACGCATGTCTCGCCAATCACCGCCGTGTGATGTCATGCCTCGTCGATCGCTACGCGTCTCCCGTCGAGTTGTCCACTTTGTTGCTCACGGTCATCATGCGCTGCGGGTCGTGCCCTGTTGTGTCTCGCCGAGTTGCCGCGGGTTGCGTGCTGCTGAGTGCGTCGCGCATTGCATGTCGATCAGCCCTCGACCTTATGTCGTATGGTATATTCCTTAACCTAGGTTGGGCGTCGTGTTGTCGACGATATCCCAACTCGTGTGCCAGAACTCCATCTCTCTCTTGCTCTCAACAGAGCCGGTCCTGGGGTAGGGCGGGCCGGGCGACCGCCCAGGGCCCCCACTTACCTTAGGGTCCAATATTATTAATTATATAAAAAATAGTTTGAATAATTATTTTCTAATTCTTTAATAAAGGTATTTAAATGTTTTTTCTCATTTGACTAATTTCATGAAAAAAAATATTAATTATTAGTAGTAAAATTAATACGATTTTACATAGTTTTTCGTATTATTTTCATTTGTTTTTTATATTTTTTTCTTCTTGCTTGAATATAGAAAATGTTATTTCGTAAGGAACAGTTAAATAATTTTACTGATAGTCATTAGAAGAGTCAATTGCAATCAACTCATTTTAAGACGATTTTCATTTTATCGTTATTTAGTTTCCTTACATATCAAACTAATAATTTTTTACATTCCATATTAAAAACTATTTAATTTTAATTTAATATTATATACTATAATTAATTTAATATATATATTTAATAAAATAAAAAGTTTAGAGTTTTAACGTTTATTTTTTGTTTTAAGAAAGAAAATATTTCATCGATTCTTTTCATTTGTTATTTTTAAAATATAAAATTTAGTTCTAATTATATTTAAATTTCACCGCTTTTATTATACCTAATAACATTAGGCTTTTTTTAGGATTTTTTTTTCGCAAATAAAATAACCAAATAGAACATTTAGCACGTTTCGTCCAGGGTCTTATGAAGTTCAGGACTGAATCTGGCTCTCATAATCCTCGCACTTGAAAAATAGTGATTCCTAACATGAGAATGAGTTTCCCACATGGTTCATTTATATGCGACAACAGGGACCTAAGAAGGCTAGGGTTAGCACTGTAGCAAGATGCAATTTTTTTTTGGCTTAGGACTCAACTCACCATTAAACCTTGACACTTCTTCCCACCGATGATGCATCATGGTCATAATTTATTTTATTATGTGATCTACCGTGGCTACAAGAGACATAAATCGTGCAGGCTTTACCAACTATTCTAACATTCAACTTGATTATTGTTGATGATGCCCAATCGGTCTTGGGAAATAAAGAACTTGTCCAGGGTTAGACTCCATAATAAAGTCTTTCGCAACAGGCATAACAATTAATATAATATTTATATGCAGATCAAATTCTTGTCTTCTATGGGCATACATAGTTTTTATGAAACCGAGGACCAGTATGTTTTATTATGAAGTATGAACTGAGCAGCTTCTCAAAACCAACCAAAAAAAATAAAAAATGAATACATCATTTTTTTCTTATGAATAATTACTTATGAATCTAATATATATAAAAACAAAATAATTAAATTTCTTACCTGCTCCATAAAGTTCTCGACTAAGTGTCTCAAACAATAAATATGATGACTGCCGGGAAAAGCCATAAGGATGGATTTTAGTAGCGCACTATGTCGGTCCTAACAAATGTTAACCTTCTAAAACTTGAGAAACCCGAGGAAAAAAAAACTTCAGCTTCAGTCAAAACCACTCCTACTAATTACCATCGGTCTCAACATCAACCAACATAAATGCTATAGTGAACAAATCATCATTGACATCCTTACTTACAACACTAAGCAAAGAACTTTTATATTTATTTTTGGTGTGAATGCCATCTAAGAATATTAAGAGTCCTTAGCCAGTTAAAAAACTAACAAGACAGGCCTGAAAACAAATGAAAAGTCGGAGAAACTTTTTCTCGAGAGGGTCAATCTCACAATCGACAATGCTTCCTGGATTTATCTCACGCACTGCATGACAATATCATCTTAATATGTCATAGGAGCCTTTGTCTGCTCCATGAAGATCATGTATGGAAATTTTCTTCCCTTTCCATGCTTTTTGTACTTCAACTCCAGCGCAAAGTCCTAGTGAACGTCTTTTAATATCGTTGAAGGTCTGTAACCAGTTCATCTCTGAATTTGTCCCTAGTTATATTAGAGACCTAAGTAGAGTCTGCTACCGGATGCCCCCGCATATGAAGATTAGACACTCCGCAAGTACGAACTAGATTGCATTTTCGGATGACAAACAACTGATTTGCCTTGTATCTCAATGCATATATTCTCCATCCACAATCCTCATTGCTACAACAAATTAATAATGACCTTTATGGCTATAGTTTTTCTAATATTTAAAAGATCGCTTATTAGAATCGCATAATTTTTAACAGGTCTTCTAAAATCAAATTTGCCATTGAAATTTTGTCCCTCTCATTTAACGCAATATCTCCAAGAATCAATTAAATTATCTTGTACTAACAACTGAGATTCTCCCTCCGAAAAATCGTCATATGGTAAGATTTTCCCGCGTTCATGACAAAATAATGCAAAGATTTATAAATAATAACTAGTTAAAATAATAATGAAATAGGATTGTCATACAATATACCATATCTCAATAATGAATCCATTACTATTATAGGAAACAACCTTACATGCTCATTGAGATGGATTGAACTCCATGATCCAGTCTTTCATTTTTTTTCAACGACAAGCATATCTACAATGCTTGCTTCCCAACACACGTGCAACCATAACATGTTCTTCATATCGTCGTCATCTGACAAACTCACTTGCTTTATTTCGTTGGGTGTAATGTAGCAATAGATGAAAGATTGTGAATTTACATCCAACCACCTCTTACCAATAAGGGTATACATTCTTCAAGACTCAATTCAACATGTATAGAGAAGACAAACAATTCATCATTGTATAAACAACTACCTAATGGCTCAAGTTGTGCCCCTTTTATTGTATCTAACAATAATATAAAAATTCAAATAAGTTGGATAAAATGAAACTTTAAAGTTCCCAGCACAAACTAGTATCACATACTGATGTCATATGTACTATACTACTCAAACAGAGGTACCATAAGCATGCATCAGTGGTACAATGATTATCTACGAGAAAAAAACATAACTTAACATAAATGATTGGTAAATATGAACAACAACAAATAGATTATTGTCACCTTATGTTTCAAGGGTGAATATAAAGAACTACATTCAAAATTGATTCCTTAACAAAATATGAAGTACAAGATTTTAGGAAGAAAATTATAAATAAAAGATGATTTTCAGAATCCCCACTCCTCAGTAAATACAAAGCTTACTGACCACATTTTTCACCAAAAAACTGTGAAATTTTGCCGGAGAAAGTCTAGTACTTTGCCAGAGAAGGCCGTCCATCCTTCGCCTGAGTTCGCCCCCTTTTTCGGCGGAGTTCATGCTACTAGAATTCTTCACACCAGACGTTCGCCGGAGCTCTTTTCGCCGAAGAACCTGCGAAAAAATGGAAACTGACAGGGGGAAAGGGGAAGGGGAAGGATTGATGGGGAGAGAGTTTGTGTAGAAAAAAGACAAAAAAAAATAGTAAAAAAATACAAAAAGTGGGTAGTGGAAGTTGATGTGATATTTTAATGGATTTATGTATTTTTAAAATGTTAGGGAATTAAGTGGAAGAAAAATGTGATATTGAGGAGTGCATAGTACACAAGCGAGACCCTGGATATGCAAAAATCTGTTGTGCTATAATAGTCCGTTGGATGTTTTGCAAAAATTTTCACATTTTGTATAGTTAAAACCTAGAAGAAGGGAAATTGTCGTCGGCCTCCTCCCAGCAGAGCGATCCGTGCAGCTGCGATAATAGCCACCACCAGATCGTGCTCTCGGTCCCTTGCCGCGTCGTGGCCCGCTCGACCAGGTAGTATCTCGCCTCCGAGAAGGCTGGCTTTCTTGTTCGTGGCATCTCCAGTGTTGGGTTGCAGGCTCCGGCTGATGTTTCGCAGTGGTTGGAGCTGAGGTAAGCTTCTCTCCCCCTGCTTTTCTGACTTCCTTGGTGTTGGGAGGTGGGCTCGCCAACGAGTAGGGGTCGTGGCTTCGAGGGTCGTCTGTCGTGGCTGCCGATAGGTAACGAAGTTGGAGTTGGGTTGTTTTGGTCTCTTTCCCCCTGTTTTCCCGTTGTCCTGGGATTGGGTGATGGGGCTTGCCGGTGGGTGTGGGTGTTTGGCTCAAGTGGTTCTTCGGTCTTTGGTTGCCGGCCGATGTGGGGGTGAGTGTTCGGGGCTTGTCTCTGGTACTGGTTCGAGTATCGTCTACCTTGGAGAGGACTTGGTCTAGGGGTTTAGATCTAGTTATGTGTGGCAATACTGCAGTTTCTGCTTCGAAGCCTTGGACTGAGTTTCTATTCCTTTTGGGTGGTTCTTCTCGGGGTCAGTGTCGTGGCTTTGCGGGTTTGCTTGCCGGTTGTCGAGGAGGACTTTAGTTTTATCTTAGGATATTTTAGTAGTTAGTTAGTGTGTGTGGTTTGTGTTGTATGTGTGTGTTGTGATTTTTATTCTCCTTTCGTGTATTCTCTTATTTGAGAGTGTGTATTCTCCACTTGTGAGACTTTTTAATTTCTTTTGTGTTGGTGTTGTGTATTTAAGCTACTTTTGGGTTGGCTTGACCTTTAGATTCCGATTAGTTAGTCGTTTGTAATTATGTGTTTGCATTAATGAATTTTTATTGTTTTAAAAAAAAGGAGGCAATAAAAAAAATGAACTTAAATGAAAATTGAAAAATAGTACGTGGATTTAAAGGAAAATCCCCTAAATTATACCGAATCCACTTTCACGAGGCCCAAAAATAAAAATAAAAACGACCTGCATAATTATATTGTACATCGCGAAACAAAATATGTCCCTATTTTCTTCCTATACCAATTTGCCATCTCTTCTCCTTTCACCTGAATCCTCTAGCTTTCTCTGAAATATTTTCATACACGCAAATTTTGTCAATTTTGGCTGCTTATTTTGCTTGATTTTCAATATTACTACCATTTAGTTGGGGAGAGGAAAAGAGATGGAATCGGAGGACGAGATGACGGCGATGATGGAAGATTCCAACGACGACGAAGAAATCTATGGTGATGATGATTCAGACTCCAATGGCATCGTTATGGACTATGATGGGTTCATGGACCACGACTTAGACGATTCCGATGATCTCTCCTCCTCCCAAAATCTGCACTATCATCATCGATCGCAGGTCATTTTAATCATTTCTATCAATATAATGACAAGTTTAGTTCGATGCTGATTTTCATTTTATTGATTGAGCTAAATCGTTATGTCGTAGCCTCTGTTGGATTTGGATGTGGAAATGTAATTAATTGTGTCGTCTAGTTTGTTGCTGAGTTCGATCGGTAACAGGCAGGTTGTAGTAATTAAAGGCGCTT